GGCCATGGATCAAGCGCGGATCAAGGGGAGTTGGCTTGATTTCCCCAGCTTCAGGGTTAGGTTCTGCACACCAATGTTTCCAGGTTGAGTTCCCAGTGCCTCCAGGCAAGAATCCTGCCTAAAACCGTGGAGAGCAGCTGCCGGTCAGAGCTGACCCTAGGGGGCCAATTGTCTGACCCAGCAACCTCCGGTCTTCCATGGCTTAGGGTCATATGATCGCCAGAAGCGAGCGATTCTCTTGGCCTCCCTTTCCGAACCCTTGCCTGATGCACAGAGACCTCTTGCAGCAAAGGGACCGTCCTTTCCCCACATACGCCCTGTCCGTACGTTCTACCTTACGAGGCTCATGAAGGCAGGATGAAGATGAGTAGCAAACCCATTCATGGATTAGGCCACGGTCTCCTCCACCCGCCCACTCCCCGAGCCCTTCATCTGGGATCTGCGGCCCTCGATTTGGCCCACTGCAGCACAGGGGGGAAAAAACGTGTTTGCTTAACCGGCAGACTTTGCTAATTTCCTTCAAGGACTCCTCTAATTAATCAAGGTTCTCTGGCTTCATTTCGAGGCAATGACATCCCATGCTCCAGTGCCGATTGCTGAAGGTTGATGCCTGAAACTTCAGCATTTTCTTTTTCCTTCCCCCTTCTTCCTGCTGCTGGAATCAATAGCTTTCATCTGCATCTCTGCCCCCTTTTCTGGGCACAGTCGCCTCCTCCTCCTGCTGCTGCTGCTAATTTCTGCTCAGAAACCTTAATTGGTAGGGAAAGGTTTTGACTTGAAGGATGAGCGACCTGGCCCTTCCCACAATGGCCAGGACAGCACCGGAATCAACGACAACTGCGGCCAGAGCGACATGGCATGGCTTATAAGTGTAGGTATTTAATGCACCATGACGAGCATGCTGGTTGCTTACACACCCCTGCCTGGCCCTGCATGGGAGCTAAAAGCACCACAGCTCAATCACTTTGGCTGAACGCATCTCCGAGTTTTGTTCCATCAAGTCACCTCCGACTCATGGTGACTCCATGAAGAGACCCTCGTCCAGCAGGCTGAGGCAAAGAGGCCATCCCAAAACCAGTAAAACCAGGGAGCTGGACAGGGGACGGATGGTATTTGTCTTCAGTGTGGAAGGGACGGTCACTCTCGAAATGGCCTTCTGAGCCACACTAGACGCTGTTCCAAGACCTCCATACAGCGCACGTTACCATCGTCTCTTGAGACCGAAGGATGCCTAACTGTTAACTGTAGGGGGACGGTCTGACGAAAGTGATTTCCTACCCTGTGGCTCCTGCTACTTGCCTTTAAAGGAACACTTCCATCATCATAAACAGGAGCTTTCCTGCTCATTTAAACAGGTATGTTACAGAAGTCATCTCCGGGAAGCAGTTTCTTGAGCGCTGTTGCGCTGTGTCACAGTGTGTGGTTAACACACAGACAACGGTGTGGTCAATTTCACGACCAGTCATGCAAGTCATTGAGCTGTCATACGCCTGGACGCCACTCCCTGCAAACCACAGGCCGAACTTTAGACTACATCAAGCGCAAGAGGATTTTGGCAAACCTGTGGAAACCATGGTGAAACGCTGAACAAGCGTTCTGCCCATGACTTCAGTGGATTAAAACCTAAGGCTCGTTACGTTTAACTGGGATTAAAACAGCACGTGTTTGCAATGGACACATTGGTCCTGGCATGTATTTTCACAATGAGAATTGCTTTCCTTGTATCATGTGAAAGGAGGGTGTCTCAGCCATGAAGTCCGACGGACCCAAAGCAAAACCTCCTGATCTTGGAGAAAGAAATACTACCAATCCCCACTAGTGACTACGTTTGCATCTGGTAGAAAAGCAGTTTACTCGCGTTTCTTCCTATCAATAATCTAGAACACCCGCTCCTTGGATTAAATTCTGAAGAGAAACAACCCAGAAAGAAAAGCGGGTGAAAAAATAGTTTTCCCTTTTATTTGCAAGTCTGATGGGCAGGGTATCATTTCCTCAAACTTGATTTGTGATTTACTTTATTTATAGAAACAAAATGTATTTGACCGTTATATAATTTGTATTTAATACCTAGCGGTGCTGGAGATGACATTAAAAACATGTCTCTCAATCTTTGATTCCATTTTATGTCCAGTTTTCATTTGTGGACTGGGTTGGCGGTCTTAGGAGATAAAAGGAAGAAGCCAACTATTAGAAGTTTAAAACTGAATAGTATCAATATTTCTCTCTGCCTCTATGTATGCATGGGTGTGCGTACTGTCCCCTCATGGAACAAAACAGGGGGGGAAAAACACAAAATATGACATCAAACCAAGTTTTTTTTTTTTTTAAAGCAGATTCCACATGAAGACAGTGTAACTATTGAGTCTTAATTGGGAAATCATAATGCATAGCCAATGCAGAATTCTCAATCCAAGGTCAAAATAGGCTCACAACGCTTATGGAGCAAATGAGTTGGGATATTAATTTATGGAAGGAAGGAAAGAAGGAATTAAGGAAGGAAGGAAGGGGCCCATGATGGATGGATGGATGGATGGATGGATGGATGGATGGATGGATGGATGGAAGACTATAAAACCTCGGCTGGATTATTTTGGTCACATTTAGAGCAATGTGTATTGCAATTTTTTTAAAAAAAAAATCATATGACAACTTCATGATGAACCTATTTTGGTGGAGACTTAAGAGGGGGGGAAAGATCGGCAATTTGCTCACTCATCCCTGGTGTGTAGTATAAGCCATCTAGAGTGAAAAGGAGCCGCTATTGTTTCTCTGTATTTCAAGATCAGAACGCTCCACTCCTGCTGCTTTGTGCTGTAACACAACCCACGTAGAAATTTGTATCTGCTAAACTGTTAGACCTGATCCTAGTGGACTTTTAAATACCAAAGTCCTGGGTGCAAGAGGAACCAACCGCAAGATGAAAAACCCCAAGGCTGCCCCCTTTCTACAGTCCCAGTTTGAAAACGATAGGCTTTAAAAGCTATTCTGCTCTTTCGCGGAAAGCTGAGAGACCCAAGGAAATGGGGAGGGGAGGGGTATTAAAATGGAAGACGATGTTGCCTTCATCATTACACACGCACGCAACAACCTTCCATGGATGAGGCCAGGTCAGAGCACGATGAGCGCTTCACTGGGAAGCAACACAGATCTGAAGAGCAGAGGTAACTAAGTCCTCCATCTCTCTGGAAGTTTGGGTCCAGCCTAAAAGAACACCCACAAACACTGCTTAAAAGTCTATATCCTCTGTGTTTTAACTGTAGATATTATCACATAGTACAGTAGGATCCCTGTAGCCATGAGGAATGAGTTCCAAGCCCCCCCCACGGCTGCTGGAAAACGTGGATTTACCAGAACCGGCCACTAGAGGGAGCCAGATAAGATGGTCTCTGGCTCCCTCTAGTGGCCAGTTCTGGTAAATTTACTTTTAGAAATATGTATTTCCAAAATTTTTAATATTTTCAGACCACAGATAAGTGAATCAGTGGATACTGATCCCCCAGATAAGGAGGTCCTATTGTATTTGACATAAATGTACAGCTAGTCCTCACCACCCTGATCACATTCATTTTGTCCAGTTGTCTCTCAGTTTCTCAGTGCGTTAGCATTCCCAGGGTCCCACGTGTCTTTTGGCAAGCTTTACAAGCCACTGTTTGGGTCCAGCCTAAAAGAACACCCACAAACACTAGAAGACCCACTGCTTAAAAGTCTATATCCTCTGTGTTTTAACTGTAGATATTATCACATAGTACAGTAGGATCCCTGTAGCCATGAGGAATGAGTTCCAAGCCCCCCCCACGGCTGCTGGAAAACGTGAATTTACCAGAACCGGCCACTAGAGGGAGCCAAATAAGATGGTCTCTGGCTCCCTCTAGTGGCCAGTTCAGGTAAATTCACTTTTAGAAATATGTATTTCCAAGATTTTTAATACTGTATTTTCAGACCACAGATAAGTGAATCAGTGGATACTGATCCCCCAGATAAGGCGGTCCTATTGTATTTGACGTAAATGTACAGCTAGCCCTCACCACCCCGAACACATTCATTCTGTCCAGTTGTCTCTCAGTTTCTCAGTGCTTTAGCATTCCCAGGGTCCCACATGTCTTTTGGCAAGCTTTACAAGCGAATCAAAAATTAGGGGTTCATGAGGACCTTCCTCTTACCAAAGGTCCGGGATCTGTCCCAGCTGAGAGGGCAGGAGTCAGTCTCTCACCCCCCAGCAGGAAGGTTTGGGTTTTCTGCAATCTGGCCACAGAAGCCCTTCAAGCACTAGCCAATGGGCCGGGACAGGCTTTTCTCTCCAAGCAGCTCATTTGGTCACAGAGGCCATGGGGTGGAGTTTGGGGGAATTAAACCTTTTTGACGACCCCGTGAGACTGGCACCTCGTGGGATACCTCCTGCTGCTGCTGCTCCCACAGCTCGAGCTCCATCCGTGTCGATATTGATTGGGATATTGGCCAGTTTACCCACAGAGGAGACAAGAGCAGATCCTGTATATCGTTTCATCCCGGCTTGAAACATTTAGTGCAACATACCTGGTTTTGGAGGTCACGATGCTTCATTTCACTGTTTCATTTTCAAATAATGTTAATGCCCAACCATGGCGTTATTTGTTGCCTGTGTACTAGAGATGGGCACGAACCGCTGTTTTGGCGGTTGCTGCTGGTTCGTTTATTGGCCGAAGAGGTGCTTGGCACTCCTTAGCCCCACCCACTTCTCCAGCGGGTGCCCACTTAAAGAGGCAGCAGGCCCTGGCTTCCCTGCCCTGCCTCCTCCAGACATTGGCTGTGAGCGGGCGCCCACGGGAGGAGGAGGAGGAGGGGCAGGGCTAGGAAGCGCCAAACACCACATGGCAGTTTGTGCCCACCTCTAATGTGTGCTAACAAGGCAATGTTCACGTTACAGGGCCCATCCTTCTGGACCCCGTGGTTGGGGCTTCGTGTGTCTCCCCCAGGAGGCACTGCAGTCACGGACCGCCACCACAGCAGGGAAAGACTACAAGTCAAGGGGGAAAGATGTCCCCACAAGCGGAGTATTGTATTTAATCTTCATCACCTTCAACAAATCAGTAGTGCAACAGTGTAAACAGAGCCCAAGAAAACTTGAAAACTTATTTTCTCATCTCAAGCAAGGATGGACAATTCCCTTTTTATTCCGGGGGGGGTCACTTTTTTCTTATCCCTCCCTCCTCCCAACCCCACACTGATCTGGGCCCTGTAAGTTTATAACATCCTCTCCTATTCCTGCCCTTTTACTAAAAATCAGCATTGCAAACTCTTCAACTTTGGCCTGCCGGCCTTAGTGGGGAGAAACCCACATGGCTAAGGGAGGGGGGGAAGCCATCGAGCATTCCCTGGCTTGGAAAATGCAGGGAATTCCAGTTTTTGGCCTTAAATGGGGAGCCTGGGGAGAGGGGGAGACAGAAGCAGGATCTATTGATCATAGCCGTGTTCACCTTTAGAGAGATATTGGGCAACACGGAGAGGAGGAGCGGGGTGTGCGAGAGTGAATCACAAACATACAGTATGCACACAATTATCACCTAACTAGGCATCTTCCAGTGGACTCAACAGGGAGAAGGAACGTGGGTTCCGTACAGTGTGCAAAACTCTTCATCTCCACCAGGTGTTCAACAGCAAACACCAGGTTTACAAACACAAGGCAAGGCTGAGCAACGAACGTTTCCCAGGAGATTCACAAGAGGAATATGTAAATAATAAATAAGGAGGAGCAAAGTCGGAGGAGTCAGGAGTGGGCTTTAGCTCCTGGGGGGACTAAAGGGCATCCATCTAGCCAAAGCTGTCGCCTTCGCTTCACGCAAAGACACGGCTGGGACCCCACAGAGTTTGCCCTTTTACAGTGTGAGCGACTAAGAAGGGGAAGGCCTCCCGCGCGAGTGCGCGGTGCCGTGGAGCAGGGCCAGGGGCTGAGGAACTTCACGGGCACAAAGGCGTCCGCTCCATCCTTCCCACCCGTGGCAAGACTAAGAGTGATTTAAAACAAAAGGAGAGAAAACCCGTGACAGTCGGAAAAGAGTCCACCACCCCCAAACCTGCAATCCCAGTGTTGTCTCTTGCACAAGGGACGACAACGGCCAGCCACCTCCTCGCTTTCGGGAGGAGGAATCGGGTGGAGTCTGAAAGCGACGACGACGGAGCAGAACCCAGAGGGCTCTCCCCCCGTCGCCGAGCGAGGGCTTTCGAAAGAACAGCGTCTGGCAAGGCCCAGGTTGCCACTCTTGAGAAGAAACCCACTACGGCCCACAACAGGAGGCACGGGGAGGAGACGGCACATGGGCCTCCGTGGCACATGGGCCTCCGAATGGATTGCAGGGTGTTTGCTTTGCAGTCCCGCGACTTGCAAGGCACGGTAGTCCTTTCCACAGGGGTAGATTTCACTCCCGGAGCATTCAAGAACCAGCGTCTACCCTTCACAGTCTTGGTTTCACAGCTTGCTTCTTCTTCTTTTTTTTTAAATTTCAAAATTTCCCTTGAAGTCCAAGTTCAAGTACAGGCAGTTAGACTTGGGGGGAATTTTTTTGTTTTTAAAGATCAGTGGTAAACAAAAGGTAGTCTCCGTGAAATATATTAGCAGCACGATCCTTCAAAGAACACAGGGTTCCTCCAGACCTTTCTCATGCGTCCGATGAGTGGACTGGCCTTCTGTGTTGTTGTCGTCGTCGTCGTCCATCCAACCCTTCCTGCCCGACAACCGACAGCTATAGGATCTCTTCCCGCTGGTTCTTAGGCGTCACCTGCCCGTTGTGCAGAAAGCCATTCTGGGCGTGCAGCAGCTTTCCCTTCTCTCGGTCCGGCCACGTAAAGATGGCTTCGTCGCTATCCAGCTCCGACTCGGAGTGCATGAGGCTGGTGTTCTGGGCCTGGGGTTTCTGCTTGCTTCCTTTAAAAGAGAAGCAAAAGAAAGAAGCCAGAGAAAACTCATGAGTGCGAGAGGCTGCGAGCTCATGTCCTCGGAGATGTCGTGTTTGCTCCGCATCAGCTGCACAGAACAACCGACAAGAGCAGGGCTCTGCCCCTGAAGTTTTTATTTTAGTTCAGTTTAAGTTTATATACAGTCATGCCCCGCTTTACAATTGCTCTGCATTATGACAAAACCACATTACGACATTTTTAGAAAACTCATGAGTGCGAGAGGCTGCGAACTCATGTCCTCGGAGATGTCGTGGTTGGTCCGCATCAGCTGCACAGAACAACCAACAAGAGCAGGGCTCTGCCCTGAAGTTTTATATTTTAGTTCAGTTTAAGTTTATATATTGCCCCACCGACTGGGCTGGACTGAGAGTTTCCAGCCCATAGGAAAGCATTAACCGGGTTTTAATGCATTTGTATGGGTTTTTAAAAATCACTTTACGACGTTTTCATTCTACAGCGATTTCGCTGGAACGAATTAACGTCGTAATGCGAGGCACCATTGTATTGCCCCACTGACATGTAGAAAGATTCAGCCTGTTACGAAGCCTGTCTCACCCATGTTACCCTTTCTGATGGCTTACCTGCTTTGAGATTTGGTTTCAACTCCAGGCTCTCTTGATCCGTGGCATCCAAGATCTTGTATTTACTCTTCCTTTTGGATTTCACTTTACGCCTTCAGGAAATAAAACAGAAAGGGAGGAAAGGGGCTGAAACTTAAGAACGGGCCCGACGAGCGTTTCCTGGAGGGCTCGGGATGGAGGAGGGGAACCCGGCCCTCGAGGAGCGATGCTCATCACCCCTGGGGAGAGCTGGAGAGGATGGAGAGGAAGAAGCGCGTTTCAGGAGCATCCAGTTCTACTCACTTCTTGAAGCAGCAGACCCCAAAGGAAGGGGATGGAGGAGGGGAACCCGGCCCTCGAGGAGCGATGCTCATCACCCTTGGGGAGAGCCGGAGAGGAAGAAGCGCGTTTCAGGAGCGTCCGGTTCTACTCACTTCTTGAAGCAGCAGACCAGCACCCAAAGGAAGATCCCAACGGAGACCACGATCACAAAGGAGGCAATGACGACATAGAGGACACTCCATTCTGGAAGAGGCACAGAAAGGGAGCCTGAGCCTCCGATTGCAGGACACGAGAGGGAAGCCTTGCGGTCTGTCTAGCCCTCAAATTTTGCTACAGGGTTTGGTACACACCCCGACCTTTGAAGCCTCCTCTTCGGGCACAGGAAGGGGGGGTGTCTCCCCAATGTGGAAGTCACGGGCTTGGCAGCTGCACGAGAGGGAAGCCTTGCGGTCTGTCTAGCCCTCAAATTTTGCTACAGGGTTTGGTACACACCCCGGCCTTTGAAGCCTCCTCTTCAGGCACAGGAAGGGGGGTGTCTCCCCAACGTGGAAGTCACGGGCTTGGCAGGCATACACACCCCGACCTTTGAAGCCTCCTCTTCGGGCACAGGAAGGGGGGGTGTCTCCCCAATGTGGAAGTCACGGGCTTGGCAGCTGGGCTGGGGCAGCACTTTCTGGCCGTGACCCTTCAGGATGGAGGGCTAACTTAGCCTCTTGCCTTCCAAATCAAACCCAACTTCCGTTCTCCAAAACAGACGTCAGGGACCCTTGGTGGGAAACGAGGCGCTTAGGCTTTACGGTTGGCTGTACGCAGCCCTCTCGGGGTTGACACCAGCCCAGGTCGGATGGGTGAAGTAGCAACAAGGGAGAACCTAGATTGTAAGCCGCCTCGGGCTCATGTGCCTCTCTGCTCCTCTTCCTTCCTTGGCCACACAGAGAATGAAGACCTTCGAGGAATCAAACCTCCTCATTACATGCGAACTTAAGGGAGTGTGATTTATTTTAACGGGAGTGATTTAAAGAAGGAAGCATCTAGGCTTCCCAACCTTGGGAAGGGTCCCCAGCGGTTCTTGGACTATAACTCCTAGGAGCGTTCACTCCAAGCTGAGCTAGTCAGGATTCCTGGGAACTGTAGTCCAAGAACACCTGGGAACCCAAAGTTGGGAACCGCGGTCTAGGCAACGATGGAGTCTACCATTCCCATAATTCAAAGGCCAGACCGGCTTCGTGGGAATCCATTCAGCACAGCCCTTCATTTCCTGCTGCTGAAGTCCCAGTGTTTTGGCTGGAAAGGGCGTAACACCCTGAACTCTGCCCCCAACAGTCCTTTGGAAGTGCCCACAATTCAAAGGCCAGACCGGCTTCGTGGGAATCCATTCAGCACAGCCCTTCATTTCCTACTGCTGAAGTCCCAGTGTTTCAGCTGGAAAGGGCGTAACGCCCTGAACTCTGCCCCCCAATAGTCCTCTGGAAGTAAGAGGCTTCTAGGAAACTAGCAGCCTGACCCCGACATCTGACGTTTCCCAAAGGAATGGGTGACATTTACAGAGAAGCCAGAAGCAGGAGATGCAGGAGGGCACGAACGCCGTGGAAGAGCACAGGCGACGCACCTCCGGTTTTGGTGATTATTTGAAATGAAAGACTGAAAATCAACAGTTCCTTACAAAGTAATGGAACATCGAGCACGGCTTTAAGCAAAGCTGTCTTCATGGGACAGCAGGGGCTTATCGCCACCCCCTCTCCTATCTCATATCCCGTGCACATGTAACTAATACAGCATGACTAGCCTTGCACAGATTGGGAAGAATGAAGGTTGAGCAACCCGGCAGGAAGGAGGGAGGCTGCCAGAGGCACTGGGGCAAAGTCATACACACCCGCCCAGCAGGTGAAGCTAAAGGTTGGAAGATATTCCCCCTATCATGGGAACTGGAGGTAGAGACCAGTTTCTCAAAGACGGAGGTGTGTGTGTGTGTCAAAAGCACAACTTAACTGACGGCAGAGGAGCCAGGGACATACACACGTACACACCCGGAGAGGCTAGCCAGGACTGATTTCCAAGAAGCCAGTCCTCGGCTGGGCGGTTTGACAACTTAGGGACACAAGCAGGAGAGCTGAGCGCCAGTGCTGTGGCGGATGGTCCCCAGGGGCGGTTTGACAACTTAGGGACACAAGCAAGAGAGCAGAGCACCAGCGCTGTGGCGGATGGTCCCCAGGTGGACGTTGATCCTGGCCCGGGATGGTCACCTTGCCTCCCTGAGCCGTCCTTCACAAGGACCCCTTGAGACATGCGTTATTGCACGGCTGTAGATCTCCAGGGCAACCACGGGTGGCCAGAGTTCTGCCTGGACCCCTTGAGACATGCGTTATTGCACGGATGTAGATCTCCAAGGCAACCACGGGTGGCCAGAGTGGACAAACGCCCAACACCTTCTGCCTCCTCTTCTCTCGCCCCCCGATCCCCCCGAAGCCTCTTTCTCCCTTCCCTGAACGGAGACCTGTTTTCTCCCCCCCCCCGCAAAGGTGCCTCTGCTCCTGGAGGGGGAAAGAAGAGCACCTACCACAGTTGCTCTCCCCGTCGCCCATCTTCACTTTGATGAAGTTCTCCATCCAGAAAGGGTCGCAGACGCAGCGCTTGGTGAAGGAGTTGCAGTGCCCGTGATCTGAGCAGTTCAACTGGCAGGCTGGGGAAAGAGACGAGACACACACTCGGGAGGGATTCTGACAAGGCCAGAAGCGAACAGAACGCCTTCAGGGGCACAGACAAGCCTGCAGGCATTGAGAGGTCAGGGATTCCCTTGTCGTACTGCTCTAACAGTTAAGAAGTTTTCCCCCATCCCCGGTATTCTGCCAAAATCGGATTTCCTGTAACTTGAGCCCTTGTCGTGCTGCTCTAACAGTTAAGAAGTTCCCCCCAAAATCTGACTTCCTGTAACTTGAGCCCATGGTTACCTGTCCGGCAGTCTGGGATGATCGAGAACGGATCCTGCCTCTCCTCTGTAGGACGACCTCTCAAGACTTTCCCCTTTTATTTCGAATTAGCAGGGTAGCAAAGTTGAAACCCTACACAGTCCCCACCTGTATGCTTTTTCTGGGGTTCACTGCGAAAGTCATGCACAAGAAACCCAGTGGCTTTGCCCCGTCTCACAAGACACCATGTTCTAATTACTATAAAGGCCTTTCATGTCTTCCTAGGTGCTAAAATTCGCTCATTCTCACTCAAGGAATTGAATCAATCTAGCTGCACTCCAGAACATGGGAGAGCGATGTAGCACAGAAGCTGTGAAGAAGCCGAATGTAAAGACACCCGAGGACCGGTGCTCTACTTTCCGTTCTCCTCACCGACAACACAGGGCTAAAAATAGGAGCCTGCCTTAAAGTTTGCAATTGTTGTGATGTATAAAATTCTTTATTTATTTCCCCAGAAGCCATTCTGGGCAGTTTAGAGCAATCGAAACAACCACAATAACAGAAACACATGAAGGCAACAAACCAAAAATTTAAGTAAAAAGAAAATTAACCATGCAATTAAATACAGTAAAAAACCATTAAAAGATAGGCAACAGTTAAAGCATGTTGACAGCAGGTGAAGGCCTGCCGGAATAGCAGAGTTTTTAAATATCAGGCAAAATCCAAAGGAAAAAAAAGAAAGGAAGAAAAAAGACAAAAAACAGGCGGCACCTTCAAGACTAACTATTAGATTTTAATGTGACCTTTCGTGGATCACATCCACTTCTTCATACATGTGGGAAAAACGGAAATGCAGAATGAAATACAAAAATCACACACAGACCATTCCAAACATTCACTGGCTTTAAAAATCCTGTGTGTGTTGTTATATCTCATGTGGAATAATTTATGGCTTTTGTTTGGTGTTTAGTTCTATTGTCAACATTCCCGCAGGAGACAGAAAACAGGTAAGCCGGCGAGAGTGAAAAAAGAGTTTTTAATGTGTTCTTGAAAATCGCCAGGGAAGGGGCCTGGCAGATTTCAGATGGTAATAAAGATGCAGGGTGAAAAGCCCTGCCTATGTTTGGGACAAAAAATAGTTTCAAGCAAGGTGGCGGCGTGAGAGGCATTATTAATTCCCCAGCAGTGGCCACACTGCCTTGTTTTTATCCATGTTCGTCTTTGATCTAACAGG